GATATCACTGGGAGGAATTCACCTCCAGGCCAATTGGCTGTGAGAATCAGCTGTGTCTATGGTGGGAGAACTTCTGTGCTGAAGACACTCTTATAAGGCAAGACTTGCTTCAGTGGAGCATTGGTGCTCACTGAGTCTGCCCCCTGAGTTGTGTCCCTTATGGATCTGAGGAGTTGTAATTGGATGGTCCCACTCTGACCACTGGGTACACTGGCTCTTGGATCTAAGGAGTGCTAATTTAGCCTCTGCCTGAGGCTACCCAGCAGGAGCTACGAGGAGATCTGCAGATTCCCCTTCCTTGTTTGGGGTTTGGGGGTGCCCAAATGAGGCCCAGCTGTGAAGCAATGCAAGCTGCTGTGGGGCCTTGGGCCTTCTCTTGGAAGTTCTGGGTCTGTCTGGCCCAGCTGCAGTTTGTTAGGTAATTTTCAGATTGCAAAGGACCAGGGCATTCATATGCAAAAGCCTCTGCCCACAGCTTGGGTGGGGCAGGGTCTCAGGGAATCAACAGGGCGGAGCAAGCAGCTATGGCTGATCCTCAGCCCTGCCCTAAGGGGCCCTGTGTCTCAGTGTCCTGGTAATCGCTGCAAGCACCTCAGCGGGAAAGCCGTCCTCAAGTTCCGAGTTCTGCCTGCTGCAAGACAGTCCAGTTTCTCCCCATATGAGTCTAGGTCCCAAAAGACTCACCTGGAACTGGAGTTCAGAACAGTCGGGGGCTTGTGACTCCCTCCCGATTCAAAACGAGAGCGGTGTCCTCAGTTGCCAGCCCTTGCCGCATGCGCCTCCGTACCTGTACACTTGCGCACCTCCTCTGAGTCTGTGTGCTTTTCTCTTTCCTTCTAGTTGTAGAATTTCCACTCAGCCAGCCTTCCTGTGGTTCTGAATGATGTCCGTTTTGTCTTTTAGTTGTATTTTTGAATTTGTTGTGGGAGGCAGCAATTTCCGGTGTTTACCTATGCCACCACCTTGGTTTTCCTCTAGAGTACATTTTCAATGGGCTACTGATACCACCTTCTCATTCCCACATCAAGCCACTGATTTAAAAACACTGTGAAGGACATTATACGTACTACCTCCTTTCTGAAACATTGAATCTGAGACTTTCTTCTCCTGTCACCCCAGAGCTATCACAGCCAAGCCCACAACCAGAGCTCCAATGAACACTGCCATAAACAAGGTGCTATGTGCAGATACGGAAGTTTCTTTTAAAGATTTACCAATATTTCAAGGAATGAGGCTGTCACAAAGATATGCACAAAAAATATTTATTGTCCATCTAACATTACCTGGTAGGTAAATGGAGATATGAAAATATACAAAATCCCCACCGTCAAGGAGCTCACATTCTGGTAACACTTATACAGTATACAGGCATCTTCCAAATGCTTTTCATGCATAAACTCATCTCTAACTCTTCATAATCCCGTGGAAGAGTAACCCTATTACTATCTCCACTACAGAGGTAAGGAAAATGAGGATCAGAAATGGTAAGTAATTTGCCCAAAGTCAGAAAACAAATAGCAGAGCCAGCCAGAGGTCTTGGTCTGAGTCTGTACTTTTGACAACTATGCAGCACTGCCCCTTTAAACTTTAATAATAATATAAGCATTTTTTAATCAAGTGGAATGAATTCACTCACAAAGTCAAGCTTATATACAAATGGGGGAGCATATGTGATGACCTCTAAGATTTAAGTGGCCAATATCTAATTCATAATTCTGAAATAAATCTTTTCCCACACTGCCAAAATCTGACAGACTCCCTTGTTTTATTTGATATTTATATTTTTTAGAGGTGAGATAAAGTTCCTAATATATACCACAAAACAATACTACTCTTTTGGTGTGTATTAATAACCCCAAAGAAGAAAAGCTCAAAAACTACATGCAGATCCCAATTTTGCCAAACTCAAATTCTTTTTTTATTTTTTAGAATAGTTTACTGATTTTTAGAGAGAGGGGAAGAGAAAAGTGAGAAACATTGATGTGAAAGGGTAACAGTGATAGGCTGCCTCCTACACACCTCCTACCGGGGATGGAGGTGCAACTGATACGTGCCCAGACTGGGACTACAACCAAGCAACCTTCCGGTGCACTGGATGATGCCCAACCAACTGAGCCACACTGGCCAGGGCCAAACTTAAATTCTTTTAACAAATTTAAAATCAAGGTATTAAAAAAAGTTACCTGGAGAACCAAAATAGCTTTATATTAATAAACTTTTGCTCCTATGAATTATACTAATTTTCTCATTTAAACTGCTTTGTTAAAATAGACATTTTGAGGTGCTAAGAGTTGTCTATAACTCATATACCCACCTATTTGACATGCTTGTACCTGGATATCTGACTTCAAACTCAACACCTCTAAATCAGAACTGCTGAACCCCCACCTCCTTAACCTGTTCCTCTTCAGTCTTTCCTAGCTCAGGAACTGGCAATTCCTGTAACTTCAACTGGTCAAAACCTTTGAGCTACTCATGACTTTCCTTCACACCCCATTATTCAATCAACAAGTCCTTTGGCTTTAAGTTAACAATCTATGTAGCATCCAAGCATTTCTAAATTCTCTTGTTCAAGTTCCCTTCTGTTCCCTAGTTGGTCTCCTTCCTGCCACCATCACCCAAAGGCCTTTCTCCACACAGCAGCCAGAATGAATCTATTAAAACCCAACCAAGTTCATTCACTCCTTGGCTCAAAACATCTGAATGTCTTCTCCTTTTACTCAGGATAGTAGCTGACATCCCTACTGGAGCCCTCAGCCCCTACATAATATGTATGGCCCCTCTGCGTACTCTGTAACCTCATACTTACCACCCTTTCCAACATGCTATGGCCAATGAGTCACTACACTTGCTCACTCTGTCTGGAATGTTCTCCCCCAAGGTGATGTTCATGCCCACTCCCCCATTTTTTACTATAAACACATCCTCACCATGGATCTGCTTACCCCACTTTATTTTTCTCCACAGCACTGACTGCACCTGAAGTAAATATTCATTTGCTTACTGTCTGTCTCTGTGAATGCAATGCCTGTTTCACAAAAGCAGAGACATTGTTTAGTTTGCCCTCTACCTGCCTCCTGGAAAAAAGCCCGGCAAAAGGACCACATGTCATCACCTGTCTGCTTGGCTTATCCACCTTCTGGCGATATAAAATGAAAGCAGTGCTGCTCATACTTGAATGCATCAGAATCCTCTATGGGGCTGGAAGGCAGACTGCTGGGGTTCCCCCGACCAGGGTTTCTGATTCAACTAGATACCATAGTCCTAGAACCACATTTTAAGAACCACTCATCTAGACAATGTTATGACCCCCCCACCTTTTTTTTAAAGAAAAATGAGGACCAAGCAGATCAAGGTTATATGCTCTAACAAGGTCTAAAAGAATTCTATGTTAATGACTAAACAAGCAGATAAGAAGGCTGACCCCTTTTAGGAGACAATAAAATACCAATAGTTGACTTCAGTTGAGACAGCTGCCCAAATCACAATTTCTCATCTCTAGGAATCATTCCAAGAACTAGGGTATGTCCCTAATCATGGCAGATTGGTCCAAAACACATTCTCTAAGAATCTAAAGTAAGATAAAGTCTGGAAGGCACTGATTCCAAATTATGTTAAGAGTAAGGCTTGCAACAGAGAAGGTCCAAAGTCTTCCTAAGATTCTCATAGCTGCCCTGATTCCGTCCGAATCCTTTTTACTTCACCCAAATATCTCCCAAATTCTTTCTTTTCCTACGTCATTAATAATTTTTGTATATTTGCAACCAAAATTACTTATAAAAACCAGTAAATGTGCTAAATTTGTAACAAATTGTATTGGTAAAGCAAATTGTGAAATATCAAAGCTTTTTTCCATTATTCCAACTTACGGCACTCTAGATTAGTATATTGTAAATATAACCACTGAATTTTAAGAGTACACTACACATAATTTCTGACCTTATACTGCCAACTCTTTCTCGTATTTCAGAAAAGTCTCTAAAACCTAGCAAAAAGCCACCAATTTGCCTTTATTTAATCAATAGGTAGTTGATGCCTATTATGTCCAATATCATGCACACCTGCAATAGCAATTAATAACAAAAACAGGTTCTTGAGTTAAGTACCTTTAAATACCTTGCTGGGTAGAGAAAGAAAAATAAGCAAGAAAAATATCAGCTAATAAAAGCTATTTCAGAGGAAGAAACTGAATGTGAAACAAATGAGCAACCAGATTGCTTCTAGATCGGATGCTCAGGAGAGGCCTCTCTGAAGTGACGTTTAAGCTAAAACCTTAACGACAAGAAGCCGGCCAGCAGACATCAGTGCACAGCTCACAGACAGGTGTCAGGCTGGGAACAGGCTCAACTTGTTCGAAGAGTCAAGGTAACTACAGAGTGTACTGAAAAAGAGGAAGTCATTCACAGTAAGGCCAAAAAGATAGAAAGGACCATACCAAGTAGGGCTTTGTAACAAAAGGCAGAGTTTGGAGCTGTTTATAAATGAACTGTACAGAACAAGGCGGCTATCTGCAACAAAATGCCTACAGAGAACAGCTGAGCAAGGGATTAAAAAGAACAAACAATAAGCTGCAAACAGCTGTTATCATAGAAATTTTAGAGCCGAACAGACTCTTAGCTGTCACACGGTCCCAACTCACATTTTACTAAAAAGACAATGTGGCCCAGGCTGTGGCTTCTTTGAGGTCAGGTCACAGATGAGCTGAGAGTTGTACTTAGTGCTCTCGAACATTCAGGCCAAAGCTCTTTACATAACTCTTGCCTTGATTTGAAATCTAAAACTAAGTCTTTACCATGTGCATTTCCAAAAGTGACCTAGCAGCATTCAGATGAAAACATACTTAGAATTTTTTAAAGTTATCCATGCCAAATTGTTTACCTCTAGTCCTCTCATGAAATTATTTCAAAATGGCTGACAATGCTAAAGTGTTTACCATCAAATATACCGCATTCCAAAGTATGTACACAGAAAAAATATTGAATAAAACAAAATATACTTACATCTGGGTATTCTTTTACAGGCACATAAAGTTTCTCTTGTAACTGAACAATAGGTCCCACAGCATCAGGCAATTCCGCACTCCTCTTCTCTGCACTGCCATTTAATGTGTCATTGTACATGTCTTTCCGTACTCTGCTAATTTCTGTTAAAAGTAAAAATTTTAAATGAGTTAGACAAAAATATTCTTGCTAGTCCAGGAAAGAAAAGGGGGCAGGGGGATTTCACTGGTAAAGTGTTAAAATTCAAAGAAGTAAAGAATTGTTGACCTACCATTCTCTAGATCAGGGGTGGGCAACCCCTGGCACGCGTGCCAAACATGGCTCGCCAGTAACTTTTGCTGGCACGCAAAACCCTCTCTTAAAATCTTCCATTCACAATTTTTTTCTAATACCGACTTTTTTATTTTTCAGATAAATTCAGTGTAGGTGCATCTTAGATAAGTAATTTTACATAACAAGTTATCTTAAAGACCATAGACATGGATTGACGAGAGAGGGGAAGAGCAATTTCTATGCCTCTGCCTTAACTCTCCCTGCCTTCCTAGATCCGACCAGTGTTTTGGTTTCATCCACATACGCTTGTGAATCTTTGTTCTCAGTGATGAATTTTGCTAAGTCTCGTAATAGGAGTACCCTGACAGATGAAAGTAGTAGCGCGTGCATATCTCTGAAGATCACGAAATAGAAACCTGATGTAAAATCTCTGTCATCAGTGATGCAGCAGCAAAAGTCCCATTGATAATATCAAACGGAGTCATAAAGTTTTCTGTCGGACTATCAGTGTACATGTATACATTAAAACATAAATGTATTTTTCATCATCATATACTGTGTTTTTTGTCGCTCGAATGAATTTTATTATTTCTTCAAGGTTCTTCACATACGTACACCTTAAGAGATATCAAGTAGGCATAACATGTTCTCAAAAAATTAGAGTTGGCACGCAAATGAATTTTGAGTCAGAGATTCTGCTGGTTTTGGCACACACTCACAAAAAGGTTGCCCACCCCTGCCCTAGATTAAGTCTACAGGACTAAAGCCTCAAATTTGTTTCTACTAGAAATTAAATTTATAGACCAAATAATACATTTTATTAAAACCAACCTCAGAGCCCAAGTTCTTATCCACTGTGATATAAATCTGTTATTTTATCTAATTCTCCATGCATATATGAGGCCAGAAATTCCAAATGATAACTTCAGTCAAATAAGCATCATAAGAATGCCTATCAGACAAAACTTAATACCAAAGGCTGCCTTCTACTTCAGATACACAGATTTTTTTAAGTTCAGCAGAAGTCTGATACTCAAATTTAGTATTTAAAACTTTAGGAATAAAAGAGATATGTTAGAGAGGGTATATAGAGAGAAGGAAGGACTGAACGAATCTTTGGAAAAGCAACATTTAAGGGGTAAGGAGAAGAGGGAAACCAAGAAGAAATCGTAGTAGATAGAAGTAGGGAAGAGGTGTCAAAGAACCTAATAAATGACAGATAACTATGATTACATCCCAGGTATAAATATACTTCTTTAAAATAAAGTATGAGAAATCTATTTTAATGAGTCAAGTCCTGTACAAAGAAATTGATTAATTCTTTTAAGAATTCTTTAAGCTTCCACATTGTGCTAGAGCAATGGTTCTCAACTTTCCTAATGCCGCGACCCTTTAATACAGTTCCTCATGTTGTGGGGACCCCCAATTTCATTGTTACAAATTGAACAACATTAAAGCACAGTGATTAATTACAAAAACAATATGTAATTATATATGTGTTTTCCGATGGTCTTAGGCGACCCCTGTGAAAGGGTCGTTCGACCTCCAAAGGGGTCGCGACCCACAGGTTGAGAACCGCTGTGCTAGAGGCTCCTGATCACTGGTACCCGATAATAAGGGTTGTCATTAATTTTTTTTTAAATATATTTTATTGATTTTTTACAGAGAGGAAGGGAGAGAGATAGAGAGTGAGAAACATCGATGAGAGAGAAACATCGATCAGCTGCCTCCTGCACATCTCCTACTGGGGATATGCCCGCAACCCAGGTACATGCCCTTGACCGGAATCGAACCTGGGACCTTTCAGTCCGCAGGCCGACGCTCTATCTACTGAGCCAAACCGGTTTCGGCAGGGTTGTCATTATTAAATGAGCTGTAACCATCTCTCCATACTATAGATTATAACCTCCTTGGGGAAAAGGTTTGTGTCCAGTAGGATTTAAAAATGAAATCCTTTTTATTTATTTTTAAAATGTACTTTTTTGTCTTCCAAACATGGAATTTCAATATACTGTTATTAAGGAACTATCAAATATCACTTTAATTTTCTTTATTTAAAATCACTTTCAGCTAAATAAAATCCAACACAGCAAAAAGGCATTATCGAAACTGTTCTTACTTAGTCATTAAGTCTTCATTAGTGAAAACACTACTCTAATACAGTTTCTACTTCAATGATGACAATATTCATTTTATAACAAATTTTCTCTCTTAAAAAACAATTTGCCTATCAGAGCTAAACAAATATTTGTTTCTGAAAGCAAATGAAATTTTCAAAAAATCAAAAGAAGGTATCCTGGATTGAACTATATTATAAGGACAAGATCTCAATTATTTATGTATTTCCAGTTTCATAATACAATCTTTCCTAAAGATGGTCAGTATCAAGTTAGTGTTTTTCTTAAATTAGCATATGACAGTCATTCTCTAATCAAGTTTTCAACAACCAAGTAACAAGTGAAACATAAATATTGCTTAGGTAATTACAACAAGTATTTAACCAAAGGGAATTAAAATTTTTTAAATCTAATTAAAAGTAAACATATATCCTTTGGTCCCAGTCTCTATACAAAAGCACCTTCAGTATTAGTTTATTACATTTAAATACTCTTTTTGAACTGCCCACAGTACTACAATAGTTTGAGAGGGGGAATGATTTCCAGGTAAACATTTTATCAAATTAAAACACACACAAGAGAATCAACTATAAATGAGAAAATTCAGATGCCTAGATTAAAAAACACATAAAGTGCCCGGTCGGTGTGGCTCAATAGTTGATTGTTGACCTATGAACCAGGAAGTCAAAGTTTGATCAGGGCACCTGCATGGGTTTCCAGCTCAATCCCCAGTAGGGGACGTACAGGAGGCAGCCAATCAATGATTCTCTCATCACTAATGTTTCCATTCCTTCCTCTCTGAAATCAATAAAAATACCTATTTTTTTAAAAACATAAACATACAAAACCCAGTAACCTTCACATATCCAACTAGATGATATAATGGAAGACATATTTCCAACTTAAGCTATATTTCTATAAACATTTGTGTGATTCTTTTATTAATAACTGAAAGTTCCATGAGACTCTGTTACCCTCTGTCTTCCCAGCTTCTAGAATCCTGCCTGGAACATAGTGGGCCAGGTCCTCAATTACTACTCAGTAGATTGGATGGATAGGTGGGTGAATGAAGGGAGGAATGAGCTAGGTTCTAGGGCGTTGAAGTAAACAAGTCACAGGTTCCAGCTCTCAAAGAACTTAGTCTAATATGAAAGGTATGTAATATGAAAGGCATATAAACAAACAGATAACCTAACGCCTCTGAACAGTAAGGGTACAGAGACAGTGGTAGCACAAAAGCAGGAGTCATCAACTAGTGCAGGTATTAGGGTCAAGAAAGAAGTCAAGAGGAAAGAAAGTCTGATATTTTTCTAATGACAAGGAGTCATGTAAAGCAAAAGCACACTCGGTATAATTAAAATTCTGTTTTCTTAAGATAAAGTCTTTTTACCATGTTTCTTTCAGTTCCTACAATATATCACTCAATATAATAAATGAACACAAATTCTATATGAAACAGTACATAAAAGATGACTAAGACAGTGGTAGTTCTCAAAGAATTTACAATCCAATGCATCGTGGATCTCACCAGTTGAGAATGAGTACTACCCTTTATTAACAGCAACTTTCTAGCCAGAAAATCATTAGCACTTCTTGGCATGGTATTTATAACACTCAAGTTAGAACAAGTTTTGGTTTGAGTTCTAAGAGCAACTGCTTGTGTGATTTTAAACAAGTTTCTTATTTAACCTTTATGTGCCTGTACCTCATATACTAGTAATTAGAGGCTGCTTTCTGAGTGACTCAGTTGAATCCACTGGTTTCCAACCTCCGTATACAAGTACTCCATTTATTTACCCTCATGTTATAAAAAGTTCTGTCTCCAAAATTGTTCATTCTATTAAGTCCTGGTGGTCAGAGCTTTGGTTTATGTTGATATCAAGTGATATAATCACAGTCAAAAAGGCATGTCATGAGTATGGGTGACACTCTAATTCCTTCATAGGTGGTGGATTCACAGATGCTTCTTTATGAAACACAGGAGTGCTTCAAAATTAGTATGTTTCATATGTTCTTCTGTTACATCAAACATAACATGACAATGCTCAAATGTTCCCTCATCTCCACACTCACTACCTACTTCAAACCACAGCTGTGGTTCAGAGAACTGAAAGTTCAGAAACTTTTGTTTACTCACCTAGTATAAAAATTCTGCCATTTGTGACATCAATAGACCTTGAGAATATTATGCTAAGTGAAATAAGCCAGCCAGAAAAAGCTAAGAACCATATAATTTCACTAATACGTGAGATATAAAACTGAAACTGGTGAACACAAACAGCAGTATGGTGGTTGCCAGAGGAAAGGGGGCTGGGGTGCTGAAGGGGGTCTAATATATGGTGACTGAAGATTTTACTTTGGGTGATGTGCACACAGTGCAACCAACATACAGATCTTGTATCATAGAAATCTACAACTGAAACCTATACGACCCTATTAACCAATGACACCCCAATAAATTTTAGTTAAAAAAAACTTTCCCATTAATAAATCAGCATTTCCCAAAGTTTAAAAATAGATAAGTAAAAATTCCCACTACACTGACCCAAAAATATCTCTAAGATCAAGACGATTTTGTTTTAGGCATCTCTTAAGTTCTTAAATGTTACAAATTTATTTTACAGAACCAAAATCTTTCCTAAACTTTCTTCCCACCCCAATACTCCAAAGCTCATAAAATAGGTCAAATGGCCGAAACCGGTTTGGCTCAGTGGATAGAGCATCGGCCTGCGGACTGACAGGTCCCAGGTTCG